TCTCCTCTTTGCCCCTGGGCTGGTGTGCCCATTTAGTTTTGTTTTGTTTTATGGGCCTAAGCAGTAATCTATTTTCTTTCTATACAACTGAACATAGACTCTACAAGGAAATCTATGAAATTTACATTGCAAGATTTAAAGTTTACGGAGAGATCATTCAAATAAATTGCCGTGATAGTTTTTTTGCCTTTTCTCAAAATATTCTCATTTTCAGAAACCTGCCTGAAACCTGACCAAGTCATTTCTACTTAAATCTCATTCCTCAGAGCAAATTCCATGCAGACAATAGGATGACTTTTATTTGCCTCAATTGTCACAGTTTCAGTAGCTCTTAAATCATGTTGACTTTATAAAATTGAATCTAACCTTGGTTTTGCCATACTTGTTAATTAGCGTCTGATGAAAGTGCTGATTTCCATCAAAATCTAATACCTGGAACTAGATTCTCACACATACAAAACTTTTAGTATTTCCCTTAAAACACACATATGCTCCCTCACATCAATATACACAGTAAATAAGTCTTTGAAGGATATTACTGTCTTAAAATGCTTCTGAATTTCTCTTCAACGGAGCATATCGAACACCATCTCCCCACATATAATAGGATTAATCTTAAAAAGCGTCATCTTCTACAAGCAGTTACAAAGGCTTGTCTGCCCTCAGGGATAGACCAGCCAATGAGTGGCTATTCTGGTGATGTAATGCTTGTTAACTTACTATCTTGCAGAAGTGACTGAGGAAGGTGCTTTTCACAGCATCAAACATTAATTGAAATTAATTCTTTCTCACATGACTAACTTTAGTTCCTACGCCACCTTGATACTTCATAAACACTTTGCTTGGGACAGTCTTGAAATAGTTGTGCAAAATCATTAGACTAAATAATTTCTTCTGTGTATTGCCAATGATAATTCCCTACCTTTCTTGAGAAATCGCTTCGATAGCTTGGTCCTTATGTAAACAGACCAGGCTTCAAACCATTTTGGTCCGATTAGAACCCCTGCTGAGAATCTGCATTTCCACCCCAGATAAACTGAATCTGAATCTACATTTTAACAAGATCTCCAGGTGATTTTTACACATGATAAATTTTGAGAACCACGAGGGGCTCTGGTGGTACAATGGTTAAGAGCTTGGCTGCTAACCAAAAGGTCGCAGTTCAAATCTACCAGCTGCTCCTTGGAAACCCTATGGGGCAGTTCTACTCTGTACTATAGGGTCCATATGAGTTGGAATCGACTCCATGGCAACGGTACCAGCTCTACTGGTGGTTCTCAGAATCGGTTCCTAACCAGTGGCATTAACACTTGTTAGAAATGCAAATTCTCAGTAGGGGTTCAAATTGGAGCAAACTGGTTCGAAGCCCTGAAACAGACAAAGAATGCATTAACACTAGCCATCCACAGATAAACTTATTTTTCTTTCTCAAACATTGATTCCCATGAAAATCAAATAAAAAAGTAGAGTTTTTTTATTTTATACATATATGTATTTATTTACCATATTTGTCACTGCCTGCCTCTCAGTATAATTCAAATACAATCCAAAATTGGTATTATACTGAACCTTAAATTTTCAATAAAGAGACAGTTTTTACATGTATAGCACATGATAGATGAAACTTAACAGTAGACATACCTAGAATACCAATGGCAAGTCCACCAAGGTGCATACAGAATTATAGATAAGCATTTCTTTCACTGTTTTGTTGTGGGGAAAAACATTTATAGAGGAAATAGAAACTCAGCTGGCGAATTTCAGATATCATCATCATCTTCTTCATCCTGAGAAGATCCTGCTTGATTGGATGCATTGGCTGAGGCAGCAGCAAGCTGGGCTTGTTGGGCAGCCTTCTGCATTTGAAGCCGTTCCTGCTGAGCCAATTCTGCTTGTTGCTGTCTAGCTTTTGCAAATAATTCCTGTTGCTGTCTCAATAATTCTTCTTCAGGAATGCCAAGGTTTTCCCAACAAGAATTGGCCCTTCTTCTTTCTAATACTACCTACCGTCTTGTATTCCTGTAAGACTTCTTGGATTTCACCGATATAAGAGTAAAAGCCCACACTTTCTAGTGCTTGTATGACATGCTCAGGTGAGATGGTCTTCTTTTCCGATTTGTTGCAAATCTCATTGGCTTCAGGAGACATAAGGTGAATGAATGCAGTGCAGCAGTTCACCACCAGCTCCTGGGCATCGTCGGCAACCCGGACGCTGGGGAGAGTCTCATTGATCTTCTTATTGATGGGTTATTGATTGGGTATAGTGAGATCATCATTGTTGCCAGATAAGGAAGCCATCGTACATTCCTATCTGTCGCACCTGACTTTTAAAAACTCCCCAGTTCTCATCCACTACCATATTCAAACTTCATTTTCACATCAGCCCATTTTATCCCAAAGAAAACAAAAATATTTGAAACAAGTGTTTGAATAACCAGGTGTGTTCATAATGATATCATAATCTTCTGCCTAGTGGGTAATTCACAGGACTCTGTTGATGCTACTAAATGCTTTGAATGTCCAAAGAAGCCCTAGCCAAGGCCAGGTGAAGACCGTTGTTGTTACTGATTGCTGTCAAGTCTGCTGTGACTCATGGCAACCTCATGTATAACAGAATGAAAAGTTGCCTGGTCCTGTGCCATCTTCATGATTGTTGGTATGTTTGAGTCCATTGTTGTGGATATTGTGTCAGTCCGTCTCACTGAGGGTTTCCCCATCACATAATCTAATTCCATGAATACAGGATAAATGGCTGTTGGTTTCCACCAGTAAAATATGCAAAAATGCACATACTGAGTAGAAATTTTAGGCAGGTGTTATTTCATGCAACAGCTCATTCCCAATTCCTCTTCCTCCACTGCAAACCTCGCTCTTTAAGCAAAAGAATGCATACCAAGCATGCTGTAGAAAGTATAATTTAGAAGACGAGAGTCCTGATACATGAGTACACCAGTGGTTTATCTGATCTGATGCTCAGGAGGAAAGCAACTCAGACTGCTAAACCAGTTGTGTAATTTGAAGTGGAGGGTGTAATTCAAAGATGATGAGCTATGAGTACTCATAGTAAAAATATAGGAAAATTACTATGATTTTTTCCTTTTTTTTTTTTTTTTTTTTGTCAGAATATTCTCCTAACTCTCTGAGAAAGCTGCAATGATTTTTGGCACAGTAGTCTTTCTTGGGACCTTTTACTTGTTCAGGTCATGGTAATACAGTTACATTGGGGTGGGGTGGAATTATGGAATCATAGAATGTTTCAAACTTGGCTGTGGATAATCTCTCTACCATAGGAAAGTGGTGAGTCAGTGTAACTTCAGAAAGCCACAATTTCCTCATCTATTAAAATGAAATAATATTTAAATATTAATTATTTAAAATAATGTGTGTAAATTTATTGGCAAGTAGAAGGTACTCCATTGATAGTAGCTATGTTTATTACTATTTTTCCATATACAAATAATATCCAAGCCACTTTACCTTTCAAATTTGAAAATCAAATTATATATGAATTAAGCTATTTTATTTCCATTAAAGATTTAGTTTGTACTTGAATCTTAACCCAGTTATTCAGTAGTTTTTTTAATGCATTAATAATTCAAAGTGAATGCTTTGTAAAAATATGATTTTATGCAGCATCATTCTAAATAATAGTGGTGGTGGTAGTATTAGTGGTAATAGTAGTAATAGTAGCACATTTCTTCCAGAGACCTGCCGAAATTTTTACAGATATTGCTTTTCCAACGCTTAAGAAAGGGTCCTGGAAGGCATTACTCATGCCATTCAGTCAGCTTACTGAAAAGTGAAAAATGCAACTTATCAACATCAAACAAAATGAGTAGCTTGTTTTTTTTTCAGTAAGCTAGATTGAACTAAATTGTTTTGATGTTGTTTCTTTCCAGGTAGACACACTGACACATTTCTAAAAATTGATTTTAGATTTTAAATTTCAAGGGCTATTTAGTTTACTTCATCAAAAAATTTACCAAATGCCCAACCTGTGCATGGAGAATTCCAAAGATTAAAAACAACAACAACAAAGACTTGGTTTCTGCCTCTTTGGTGCTGATGTCTAGTCAAGGTGTCAGACACAGTGCACACTCCATTATAAGTGCTATAATGAAGCTGGGTATAAAGTTCCTGGAAACATAAATGGTGGAGCTTTTCATTCAACGTTGGAGGGGTGTTTTTTAGAAAATTACAGACAAGTGACATTTTCTTGGTTTTTAAACAAGAATAATGAGTTTCTTATTTGGGTAAGAACAACAATTTTCACATGTACAGTTCAGTGACATTCAATATGTTCATCATATTGCTCAAGCGAAAACTTCATTGTTTTTATTCACACAGTAAAGCACTAAACCAGCAAGTCAATGTATGAAACCATTCACCGGTAATACTGTGGGCGTGAGAATATTCTTAAATAAAACATGCTGAAAGTTATCTGCCGTTTTCTTTGAGTATACTCACTGAATAAGAAGTTCTCCTAGCTTTTAACAGGACTATATATACATCTTCAGTAATCATATATGTTGGATATTTTTTATTTGACTTGCACTGGAATGCACATCCACACATAAATGATGCTATTGTTATATCACGAATATTTTAATTTAAAGGATGCTCGTGCTAAACTGTCTATATTCTGCCTCTCCTTTGTGACCAATATCATGTATTTTAGAAGTAGCTAAGTGAAATTATGGATAATTGGATCAATCATGGGTTATAGCTTTTAATCATAGAAAACTGAGCTGCATGGAAATTGAACCTACAGTCTTGATCTCATTGTGCTCTAGCCACCTTAGATATCATACACAAAAGTGTTTATCTAAGTAAGTGTGTATGTGTGTGCATGGTATAGCCTTCTTCATTCCAAAAAGGATTTGAGGTAGTTGGAATTATAGGTGTAATGCAGAAAAATCCACTATATTCAGTGTGCTTAAAAATATGAAAAGCTCAGATAAGTTTAAATATAAAAGATACTTTTCTGTTTCCTCCATCAGCTGTTAAGAAGAAGGCTAGCTTTATCACTCCAGTTCCAGGAGGTGTGGGACCCATGACGGTGGCAATGCTTTTGAAGAACACCCTTCTGGCAGCTAAAAAAATCATTTACTAGAGCACATGAAACAACAAAGTGAACTGAAGTCATGCCATTTATTTATTGGACAAAGGACAGAAAGCTTTATATTTTACTACAAAGCTATTTATTTCTACATGGTATTTATTTTTTCATGGATGGAATCATTGTGGATCGGGTGATTCACACAACCTTATGCATTTCCTGCTAACAGATTTTGAGTTTTAGGAAAAACCAAAACAGTTCCAATGAAAATTTGGGTGATGGTTATTTATTTTCTGAATAATATTTGTTCATAATGTTAAAACAATAAAGGGCTCATGATAAATGAATGTATTTTTGACACTCGATTAAATATCACACACAGTATGTTTTCAACAAATGTTTTGTCAGCCAGATTGGCACCCATATAAAATGTAATTTATGTTTTGCCATAAACATACTCAATTTTTAATATATTTTATGTTATGTGTCATATAGTTTAAAAAGTTTACTTGATAAAAGAAAAGCAGAATATTAAAAATCTTGATCTCATACATCTCCAAATCCATCTTATGAGGCCATCCTAATGAAAATGATGCTGTATTCAAGGAAAGGAAAATATTCAAGGAATGCAATGCTACCTGGAAAAGTAATGATTGTGTCCAATTGTGACTGACTACTGGCCTTAGTAAAAGTATATGAAGCATGTCATTCTTTCGTCTTCTGGAAAAATATTTGGACATTGTATTCACCGAGGAATAATGAAACAAGACAAAACCTAAGGTTGTATTTTCCTGCAAATATCAGACAAATATAGTGTGAGCCAGGCCATCATTAAAGTACAACAGTTATTTGTTAAACAAAACCTCAGAAATCTAATAGGAAAATGTGATACTTTCAAGGTACTAAGCCTAGACCTTAGGATATGACTCAAAATCTACTCCTTTGTTGCCAATAGCTCTTTCCTCTTCTGATATGACATTTGGTTCCCAAAGCAAATGCAATGTTTCTAAATACAATTTTTAATTAGGAAATACATGTGAATGTCAGCTGAAGACTATTTTGAGATTACTATAGATTTCAAAAATCACACGCCCACACATATAACGTGCATTGCATGCCTAGGAAAACAATGTGTGAGGGAGTTGCGTGGTTGGTAAAAAACATATAATGCGTATGTGATTTTGTAAAAACACGGTACTGTAGCCACTTAAAGGAGCCCTGGTTGCATGGTGGCTAAGCACTTGGCTGCTACCCAAAAGGTCAGCAGTTCGAACCCACCCACCAGCCACTCTGCAGGAGAAAGATGTGGCAATCCGCTTCTGAAAAGATTACAGCCTTGGAAACCTTATGGGGAAGTTCTTCTTGCTTCTGTAGGGTCGCTATGAGTCCGAATCGACTCAAAGGCAATGGATTTGTTTGGTTTGGTAGCCTCTTAATTAACATTTTGTTATTGTGCCCAAATCCTTGTATGAGTATATGCCAGTAATGGTTCTCATACAATGCATCAGTATTTATCATTGTGTACTCTTGATAATTTGTGTGAAAATAGACCAGATGTTTATAATCAATGTTACCCATATAATAAAAGTAGTTTGTAAAGGAATAGCTGTCTTCTTTTTCTTTGGATAGCTGTTTCCCTGTTCATATATTTGTTACCCATTTCTTTAAAGCATGCTGGGAGATGTACAAAACAAAATAAGTCCCAAACATGAAAGAAAAGTTTCTGCAACCCATTCCACAATTCGTTCAGACCAATTGTTTTCTGATATCCATGACAGAAGTTTAAATTCAAAACTCTCAAGCACACATTTCAAAAAAGGCCTCTTTACTTTTTACTAAACTCTCAAAACAAAATGACTTAAAACATGTATATGTGGAAAGGTGAAGGTTGTAATTTTGGGGACTCCCAATGATGCAGGAGGGGTTATTTTTGGACATTTTTGCCCCTCTGGCTAGATTAGAATTTAGAATTTAGCCTTCTCAGAAGCTAATGAAAACATATAAAGGAGATAGAGTGTGTTCATGGGGACCATCACTTTATTTGTGGTCCATAAAAGGTAGACCTGTGACAGTATCATGGAGGAGCTTTAGAGAAGTAAGTTTCCGTCTCCTACAAGCATCTGTAAAGAGAGGTCTGAAGAATTAATGGGGGCTGAACAATAATTAGAAGGTATGGAGCCAAGAATGAGCCTAGCATGTATATACATAAAAGCCAGGGTTGCAGTCAGACTAAAGTGAAAAGTGAGTGTTGGAGAGTGGTGGAAATATAGCTGAATAAATACATGAAAATAGATTAAGGAGGGCCTGGATAAATCAGGCAAAATTTACACGGTATTTAGTAAGCTATGTGCATTGTTGCTAGAGGTTTGAGGATGTTATCATTGATGAAAATGAGGAAGTTGTAAAAGAGCTGATATTAGAGAAGAGATAATATTTTCAATTTAAGGCATGTTGAGTTTTAGATGGTGACATAATATATAAATAAGAGTTCTGAAGTAATACCAGTGTGGGAAGAGGATAAGAATTCATGGCTAATGATGTAAATTTAGGACTTATCAGCATATGTTAACCTCTAAATTCCTGACCTATTTGTTGACCATTATACACACCCTGTGTCTTCCTACAGTTATTCAATAGTAACAGCTATCATTAATTGATCACCTAAAACCAGTAAACTAATTGCCATGAAGTCAGTTCTGACTCATGCAACCCCACGTGTGTCAGAGTAGAACTGAGCTCCATAGGGTTTTCAATGACTGATTTTTTGGAAGTAGATTGTCAGGCCTTTCTTCTGAGGCATCTCTGAGTGGATTCAAACCTCGAACCTTCTGGTTAGCAGCCGAGCATGTTAACCATTTGCACTACCACCATGTGTTAAATGCTTTCCTTTTTTTTATCTTTGCTCCTTATTGACAATCCTCATTTGATAGATAAGCAAATTGACCCTCAGGGTTATTAAAAGCTTCAGCCAAGGCCAAATGGATAGTAAATGTGGAAATGGAATTCAAAATAAATTCTGTTGGAATGATGTGACCCCGAGCCCACAACCTTTTCACATTATTCTGCCTCATCTCAATGCCTTCCAACCTAGAATTCTTTCCCTTATCTCTACATGTCTAAATCCTACTCATTATTTAAGATTCCCCTCAAAGAAAACTTGTCCATGAAAAATGCTGTGACCGTATGAGCCCCACCCCAAACTCTCACAGCTCTTTATGCACATGCACACATTCATGGCATTATCACCCCCTACCCCACACTGTAGTTATGTATGTACTTTCCCTAGCTCCCTTAAGTTCCTTAAGGCCAGAATCCATGCATGATTCATCTTGCAAACATTACACCCAACCCAGTGCCATGGATGTAGTAAGCATTCAGCATTTTATGAATGAATGAATGGCAACTGACTCCATGAGAATTACAAAATGAACTTAAAGAGAGCTAAAGCAATGGACAGATGACCACTTTCTGCACAATGTCCAGCAACAAATCATGGTGAAATAAAGAGTAAGCAAGAAAGAAAAAAGTGAAAGAAGGAAGGAAAAGAAAGAGAAAAGTACAGGAAAGAAGAAAAGAGAAGACTGAAGAAAAGAAAGAAAGAAAAGAGTAAATTGGCTTCTGGAGATGCTTGTGACTAGAGGAGAGAAATGAGTAAATTAAAAAGACAGAAAAAGTGGTAGGACAGAATGGTAATGGAGTGCCACATTGCTTAGACTCTCACCTGCCCTTTTCTCACTCTAACATTTTCTAATGTGTATCAGGAATGAACAAAGATACCAGTGAGGCCAATACCCATCTCCCCCATTCTTCAGGACTGGGGGGAAGGACTTTTGGTGAGATGATTGAAGAAGTAAAGGTACTTGACTCTGGAGAGCAGCTCTCTCTTCCCTCCCCTCTTCCTTCGCAGCTGCTGAAGCCTCTCCTGTATAAACAGTAAGTGGTGTTCATCAGTATGGGTTCCAGAGGAAAAGAAACCTGTGGGACACTTACAGCTGTTTTCTGGTAAAACCTTAAACTAAAGTGTGGGTTTCTATATTATCTGGCCCAATTCACCAGAGTGGAAAAACATCTAGAAAGGCAACAGTCCTGATTATACATAAAGAGTTTAAAACCTGTTCCATATCGTCTGGGAAACTTTAACTTGATGGGAGTTAACTGGATAATGCTTGAGTGCAATGAATATAAGTGAGTCAGGGAAGTCCAGCATCTGAAAATCACTACTAACAGCAAAAATGAAAGCAATGGACAACATCAAGAAGTAGATGCCATCCACAGTGTCAAATGTTTAAAAAAGGTCAAGGAAAAAAGTTGCTGGCCTTGGTTATAAAGACAGTTTGGTGACCTTTGAGAGAGTGGTTTCAGCTGAGTAGTGAGTATAGAAGAATGAAGAATGATTATAGGGAAGTGCTGACAAAAGAAATGTGTAGAGGACAAGCATATACTTTAAGTGTAAAGAATTTGAGGCATTGGACAGCAAAAATACAAGAAAGTGAATGATCAAAAATAAATATAGATAGACTCTTTTTGGTCTGACCCCACACAATCTGTTAACAATATAGATGTAGATAGAGACAGAGATTTGTAGACACTGGTACAGACTGGGTGAAGACCACTGCCCAATGTTGGATTAGAAGTCCTGTGTTATACAAAAGAAGTAGAAGACATTACCCTTGACCTCAAAAAGTTGGAGAAAGAAATGAAATAAATTTAAGTTTGATCAAAAGCTAAGATGTGGTACCTAATAAAAGGAATCAGAAAAAAAGAAAGAAGGAATGAAGGAAGGGGACGAGGAAGGGAAGCGAAGAGAAGGAGGAAGGAAGGAAGATGAGAGAGACAATACCACTGAAGAAGCTCATGGAAAGGGGGATTAAATATGCTTGAGAGAAACGTTGGGGAGGAGGAGGTAGTTACTTATAATAGAGAGATCTAGAGGGAAGGATAAGGCTTACACAGAATTGTAAACACTCTATTTTTGTTTTTAGTGGGAATCAACTTTGTCTTAAATTTTTTTGCTATTGTTTTCCACTTGAAGTCTAAATACCATATTTTTATGCAAATAACACACACGTTATATGTTTTTTTTGCCAGCCATCAACCCCGTCATGTGTTATTTTCCTAAGCACACTATGTGCGTTATATGTGTGGGCGTTATTTACGTGAGCATGTTATTTGCAAAAATACGGTAGATATGAATACAAGGTATTGTATATAAGATCCAGTTACTTGTTAAACTCTGTATTCTCATCACCTTATATGATAATAATTCTAAATTTATATTAATAATTATATGTGGAGAGAATGGTTAGGTTTTAATAACAGAAAAGTGTATACACATTGAGCCCAAATATGGCTACACAACTCCTACCAACTAACTTTAGAGATATTTTAAATCTTTTATAGATGGGGAAAAATATGCTTGACCTAAAAAAACATTTTTTTAAGTGTAGCAGTTGAAGAGGTTCTTTGATACCCAGTTGTAAAAATTTGAGAAGGGCACAGGTAGGCACCCTCTAATTAAAATCTTCTGTGGGATGTACCACTGAATGGTACATGAAGCAACTATTTAAGATTGGGATACTGTGTCTAATTGTCTGACTTAACAACGTTAGTCAACAAGACAGCAGATGCTTCGTTAGCCAAAGAGAACAATGATCCTATGACACAGCTCAACTCTCCTCAGCTTCAAAGACTGAATCTCCCTGGTAAGAACTGACAGAGTGTCCAATAAACTGGAAGTGACAATGGGAAGCTCCTTGATAGCAGGAGTTTCATCCAAACCTTCTCTTATATGTCCTACATTAATAATTTATATTCATTATATGTTATATGAAGGAATGATCTGGTCTTGCATCCCAAACTCAGGTATGGTATTTCTGATGACAAATGCTATGTGAGATTCAGAGAAGAAAGGACTGGTTAATGAAGGTTCTTTGTTTCTCTCATTCCAAGTATGTGTCAAAGCCACAAATCATTTAACATTTAGTTTCTTATGATGAAGACAATTAATTTAAAGCATGATTTTTGGAGATAATTAAGAGCCTTCTTCTGAGATCAGTACAGCAACTCCTACCAGAGGACACAGCCCACTGAAATGGCAAGGGCATATGATTTGGAATCTGAACATTGGATTTCAAGCACTCATTTTGGGGTGTTTTCTTTTGGCAAGTCACTAAATTCTCTGGAACCTCCACTCCTCATTTTTCATATGGGAATAAAAATAAGGCTTGTTATTTATTCATTTATTTACTTAAGACAGATTTACTGGACATTTACTTTATGTTAAAAAAACCAAAAATCAAACTCATTGCCGTCCAGTCAATTCCGACTCATAGTGACACTGGATTTGTTTGGGCTAATATTATTGAGGAAAGAATTGAGATAACATGCGTGAAAACCCTTTGTAAAATGCAAAGCACTATGTAAGCATCAGTTAATAGTTATTACAAAGATGATTATTGTACCTCCATTTCCAGTCTTAGAAATAAAGACATTTAGTGCCCATCCTGGCCTCTCCCTTCAGAAGCTGAAAAAGGAGTTGTGATGGTTTATTTAGTCCTTATAAATGATTTAATTTTTCAAAATTAAATTAAAAAACAGTTGCATCGGTATATCCACAGGGAACTGCCAGAAATTCAAGTCAGATTCAGAAGAGGACATGGAACAAGGGATATCATTGCTGCTGTCAGATGGATCTTGGCTGAAAGTAGAGAATACCAGAAAGATGTTTGCCTGTGTTTTATTGACTGTGCAAAGGCATTCATTCAACTGTATGGATCATAACAAGTTGTGGATTACATTTCGACCATGGGAATTCCAGAACACTTAATTGTGCTCATGCGGAACCTGTACATAGACCAAGAGGTGGTCGTTCGAGCAGAACAAGGGGATACTACATGGTTTAAAATCAGGAAAGGTGTGGGTCAGGATTGTGTCCTTATATCATACTTATTCAATCTGTATGCTGAGCAAATAATTCAAGAAACTGGACTTCAAATGTAAATGAAACTTGATTATATGAAGAAGAACACGGCATCAAGACTGGGAGAAGACTCATTAACAACCTGTGATAGGCAGATGACACAACTTTGGCTGCTGAAAGCAAAGAGGACTTGAAACACTTATTGATGAAGATCAAAGACCACAGCCTTCAGTATAGACTACACCTCAACATAAAGAAAACAAAAATCCTCACAACTGGACCAATAAGCAACATTATGATAAACAGAGAAAATACTGAAGTTGTCAAGGGTGTCATTTTACTTGGATACACAATGAACACCCATGGAAGTAGCAGTAAAAAAATCAAAAGACACATTGCATTGGACAAATCTGCTGCAAAAGACCTCTTTAAGGCATTAAAAAGCAAAGATGTCACTTTAAGGACTCAGGTACGCCTGACCCAAGTTATGGTATTTTCAGTCACCTCATATGCTCGTGAAAGCTGGACAATGAATAAGGAAGATGGAAGAAGAACCGATGCATTTGAATTATGGTGTTGGCAAGAATATTGAATATACTATGGACTGCCAGAAGAACGAACAAATCTGTCTTGGAAGAAGTGCAGCCAGAATGCTCCTTAGAAGTGAGGATGGCGAGACTTCATCTTATGTACTTTTGACATGTTAGCAGGAGTGACCAGTCCCTGGAGAAGGATATCATGCTTGGTAAACTAGAGGAGTCAGCAGAAAAAGAGGAAGACCCTCAATGAGATGGATTGACACAGTGGCTGCAACAATGGGCTCAAGCATAGTAATGATTGTGAGGATGGTGCAGTACTGGGCCGTGTTTTGTTCTGTTGTACTTAGGGTTGCTATGAGTTGCAACTGACGCAACAGCACATAATAACAACAGCACATGATTTATTTTTAAATTGTCACCAATGGTGCAAAAGAGGTCTATTTGATTTATAGTGCAAATATTATTTACCTGGGGAAAATATTATCCAGAAATTGCCTTAATAATAAACAGTTAAAAAAAATAAACACAAAGGTAGATATACAAATTATAGGCACATTTAAAAAGAACCAGGTACTAAGTGTTCTTTTAACTTTAAAATGGTGACTCCTGTGGTAAAGGATTGCCCAAGTTATAATGAGTTCAACAAGCTCATTCTTGTGTGATTTCTAAAGCCAAATTTATATTTGAATAGTGAAAGGGATCCTTTCTGGTAAACCTAATTTGCTGGGTGGACATGATGCAAATAATAACCTATCTTGCACGTTTTCAAGGTGCAGAAACTATAAGCAATTCCTGATAGAAAGGCACAACACTTCAGAAGAACATATTTTAAATTATTTATAATAATTTGGGGCAAGTAAAAATTTATGGGAAGCTCTAATAGTATCAAAATGTAACAGCAGTAATTACATATTTTGACCTTTAAAATGATACTTTAATAATCATAACTAGATTAACTTTGAGAAAAATTTGAATGTTGAACTAAATTTAAAATTTCTATTCATTAGATGTACCCAACCAAAATGTCATTTTAATTTTATCTTAAAAGATAATTTTAATCTTACTCCTTTTTTTGTTTTTGTTTTTTCTGATACTTTACTGGTTCTTTCTAGCCTAATTACTGGGACACTGATTTAAACATTGTTGTTCCCTGATCTTGGTAGCATATACCATTTTCTCTGAAAAAGGTTAAATGGCAGAATGACATGAAATAAATGTGAGGCTATTAAAACGTTTATATTTACAGAATATGTGTAGTAAAACTGAGTAGCAAAAAATAAAATGAAGTATTAAACTTCTTTGTTTTTACACAAGTTCTCTTGTTCTTCTCTGCTACTGAATTAAAAAATTTCTAGATCTGCTATGGAGCTCATAGTGGGTAATGAGAGTTAGTATGACTGACTGCAGTTTCAGGGATATTTGGTTTACAAACATCAAAACTCATCTTTGCTGGAAGCCTATCTAAGTCACTGATACGTTTTGCGCTAGCATACTTCTGGTCCCACCAATGAGGCCTTTCCTTATTCTTTTTGTTGTTTTAAGTACTTTTACACACATCATTATGCCCACAGGTAACAGGAAACCAGTGTTTCAAAAGAAAATTTGATCACATTGCTAGATAACACAGGTATCCTAAACAAGTGCGTGAGCGCCTGGAGGCTCTACACTGCTGCTGCCAGAAGTACATATTTTTTTGATTGGTAAGAACTGCCAGATGACGCTTCATGAAATATAAATGCAAGAAAGACTCAGCTCAATAAAAACTTTCCACCCGTCAGTCTAGAAGGATAAGAGAAATACACTGTTAAGCAACTGCAGGAAATGGCTTTCGGAGTCCCAGTATCTGTCTATCTTTTATTCAATGGTAGGTAATTTCCTTTTTTGTTTTGTTAACTTTGTATCAGCGTAAAATGAGAATAGGATTTATTTTCTCTAAAGCAGAGAAAAGGTGGCTTCTAATAGTCGTTCTTCGTGACAAAGATCAGAGCAAAGAATCTCTGGATTAATTTAGTTTCTTATGTAATGTGTGTTCCTCTCTTAATATGTTTGACACCTCTTTTTTGAGACCTCTAAAATGTTTGTTTTATACACTTGAAGAGTAGTTGATTTAACTACAATAGTGTCCTTATGATTGAATGATATAGGAATGTGTTCATTTTCTGTTAAAGATTAGTGTGCTTCTATTTTCTATAATATGATTATTAAAGAAATCAATAGAACTGTTATGAATGAGAAACAGGAAATTGCCCTAGTTAGAGTATGAATTTCCAATGTAAATGAATTAAAAATAGAACAGAAATAGGAATATACAGAATGACTTTGGACCTCTTGCTTGTACATAGAAGGAGGCTTGTGTGTTAAAGATGACTTTCCCCCCGTTTGATACAGCAATGGCGGCATTTACTGAAGAGGCAGCCGTCACTGTAACACCACCAATCACAACCCAGCAAAGTAACTGGACAGTTAACAAAACAGAAGGTATTTTCTTTGCATTTTTGTATTTCAAGTGATTTTTTTTTTTTAACTTTTGGGAGAATTCTGGATTCTGATAGAAGCAATATTAGAAAAACATAAATATATATTTTATTATTAGAGAGTCAATTCTTTTAGCAGGATGCTGTTCAATGGAAGTGACAGGCTAATGTGTTGTCAAGAATTGTCTTTAAAAGGAGAAAAAGTAGGCCTATGAGGGAAACAACATTTGTCTTCAGTTACTGTCCTGAATGTGAAATGTCTCACATTTTCTGCTTGATTCCTGCTTGGTTCTCAATGACCCAGGCATGTCCAGAGGCAGATAGACCCTATTTGGCCTTCTTGATGAGTGACATCGTATTTTGGTCTGTGATTGTACGCGTTTCAGCCAACGAAATTATGGGTATACAACGAAGCACTAATCCACTTTCTATCATCGTTGGAAAGCTTTTATTCTGGTTAATGTGCGTGTGTGTGCATGTTTCTTTGCGGGGGGGAGGAGGAGGCTTTTGTTTTTTGTTTTTTTAGCATATCCTCTACTTCCTAAGCACCTACAACCCATTTTTATTGTTGATGGTGATGATAAGTGTTCTTTTTCTATTTTATGATTATTATTACAATGACTTTTGGCTGCTGTTGAGCATCAGCATTTTTTCAAACCTGTTTGAACTCTTCGAGGTGAACTTGGAAAGCTTGTTACCTGCCACGACCTGTTTATTAGGTGGTTATGATTCTTACGGAGGCAAATCGCATACTGCCCCCTGATGTAAAGCCAGGCAAATAAAAAAGATCAAGCCAAAATTTTGTTTCTGAATACAAAAGATAGTAATATTTAAGTAAATGAGGTAAGTTCTTCATTAAAAGATTTACTTAAAAATGTATTACCCATTTGTTTTTTCCAATATCTGTTTGCAAACAAAATCAGTGTGCATCTTAGAATAACTTTAACTGTTTATTCTGAGCCATACATTGTCTCTGATTTCTTGTATAGACCATAACAATGCTGCTTCTGAAGTCAAGTAGGGAAAACACCCCTTTTCAATTAGCTACTCATGGCAGTGCACAAGAAGGGGGAAATTCTCACACTACTCTTCCCTGGGGAAGAAACAGAATTCAAGTTCATTACCTCACAAATGTAAATCTAAAACTTCCTAAGTTCTGATTTCTCAATGTAAAGGGGGAGAATTGAAAGATTGTGTGAATTCATCTATATTTATTAGCACTCCGGGAACATTTGGGAAGCATTGCTAACAATGACCTGCTAAGACTAGAATCAATGCTGCCACCTTTTGGCAAACTTGTACCTCTATACCTTATTATGTAGCTTCTAAAGAATGGAAGAATCAGCAATCCACCTCCACCCCCTAATTAATTAATGATATGTCTGAATGATGCTAATTCCACCCCAGTGAATATAACCTACCAAGGGGAACAATAGTTCAAAGAGAGAGCAACCAAAGAGTATTCTTAAAAGAGAGGTTATCTTTACATATGTGTTAAGAATCGACCATAAAAGCATGACCCACTTCATCTGTTACTATTGGATATCCTTTTCCTAGCTGACTATACAGAAGGACCCATAGCCTTGAAGTTCTCACCTCCTTGCCTGGAAGACCACAATAGTTACTGCATCAATGGTGTTTGTGCATTCCACCATGAGCTGGAGAAAGCTATCTGCAGGTAATTGCAAAGAACATGTCAGATTCTCGAGACAGGAGAAGATGAATTTATGCCTCTAGTGTTTCACATCGTATGTCCTCACCTCTGTCTTATCTAGTAAAATGGGCACATGATCTGAGTTCTCTTTGTATATGAATATCTAAGGAGTCTTTTTCTAAGACACCAAATTCTCATTTCTCAAAAGTATGGCTTCCAGATTGGCAGCATCTGTGAAACATGGGAGCTTGTCAGAATCTCATGCTCCACCCCAGATTTACTTAATCAGAATCCTCATTTTAACAACAGACTCAAGTGATTAGTATGCCTCTTGCCATATTGAATATTTAAAATATCAAGACAAAATCACCCTAGGAGATAGGGGCAAGTGGTTTTTGTTTTTTATTCTACCAGTGAAATCATCATATTCTCAACTTGCTATTATATTGTCTGGGGATTGGCTTCCAATCTTGCTTCCGTGACTTCGGCACTAAATTCCCCCATGTTTCAATTTCTCTACTTATATTCACGGGGTTGTTTGTAGGCTGAAATGAAATAGACTGGCAAAACACTTTAGGAATATAAAGTTCTAGAGCAACATAAACCAGTTGCTGTTGAGCTGATTCCAACTCATGGTGATCTTATGTGTGTCAGAGTAGAATTGTGCACCATAGGGTTTTCAGCAGATAGCCAGGCCTTTCTTCTGAGGTGCCTCTAGGTGTACTCAAACCACCAACCTTTAGGTTTGCTCAGATCCTCCTATGAAAGTGTCAGCTAAGGATTTTCTAGACCAATTCATGCAACCATACTACCGTTCCCCTCTACCAATCAAAGAAGTTGCATTAATATGGGCCTTAATGAAATAATTATTATAAAACAATAGCTACTTCATTATCTTTAACAGGTTGACGTTCATTTGGTATTTTGCTTTCCCTATTCAAATTACTTACTTTCCTTCAAAGTTTTTTCATTCTTTGAAATTGGTCATTTCTTTGTACTTCTGTTGTCATGGGTTTTAAAATTATATATTGTTTTCTTTTTTTGTTTGTTTTTAAAGGTGTTTAACTGGTTATACTGGAGAAAGGTGTGAACACTTGACTTTAACTTCATATGCTGTGGATTCTTATGAAAAATACATTGCAATTGGGACTGGTGTTGGATTACTATTAAGTAGTTTTTTTGCTATCTTTTACTGCTACATAAAAAAGAGGTATGAAAAAGACAAAATATGAAGTCTACTTGACACTCATTCATTTGACAAATATTTATTGATCCCCTAAAATGTGTCAGGCATTGGCAGGTATAATTTTCTAGTGAAAATGGGCATAAATCTGGCAGGTTTCTACATAATAATTGTTTCGATGCCTTTTCTCATAAGCTCAGAGAACTGATAGAAATCTATCTTCAGTTGCTATAGGATAGTTCCAATTTATAAACTCCCTTTATCCTCGTCTCTGTCTGCCTACATCAAAGTTATAAGTGAAAAGGACAGTAAGCCCCATGGGAAGGGACTATGTATGTCTTGTTCTCAATCGTACATTCAGTGCCTAAGTTTGACTGATAAGCGAAAGCTTGGCGGTTCGAATGCACCAGCAGCTCCGCAGGTGAAAATAGTTGGTGCTCTGCTCCTGTAAAGATTACAGCCTAGGAAACTCTATGGTAAGTTCTACTCTATCATATAGGTTCACTATGAGTCGGTATCAACTGGATGGCACACAACAACAACAGTGTAGTACCTAGCACACAATAGACACTCAGCGAACATTGGTGGAATGAACAAATCAAGAAATGAGGATTAAGTGAATGAGAACGTGTGACAAACATGGGCCACTTTCCTTCCAGACATTAACTGAGGTATATTCAGGAGATACTTTCTCCTGCTAAAAACCTAAGAAGATAAACTTGATCTACTAATAAATGTAAATTATTTATATATTAATCCTTATTTTTGGCTTTTCTACACTAGTACTTTTTCCTTAAATCCATGTAACTAGGGAAAAGTCAAGAAACAATGTTATATACATTAATTAGAAAATACAAACATGTTTCCCTTGCTATACTTTACTTAACTAGATTGTCATTTTTAAAATGACCAAGATTACCTGAATAAAATTAGAAAAATTTTGCTTTGCTTAACACTTTCATCTCTGAAAGAGTCAGCTGTATGTTGTACCAATTTTGGATTTGCCTAAGACACCAAAAAATAAAAAAATAAAAGGAGGTAAGACCGTTTAATACTAACAAGCCAGCTGTCTGAGGTCAGATTCCTTGGAAGCAGAGCCAGAGATGGGGATTCCGGTACACGTGATAGGTTGAGGATGTGCTCTGAGGTGAAATTGTTAGAAAGTAAGGAAAGTAGACAGATCAGAGAAAGAAACTAAGTAAAGAGGTGGTTTTAGTTGAAATCTAGCCTCAGCGTGATTCCGCAGGGAGATCTAGACTGCGAATGGCAGCACAAGCTTGTCCCAACGAGGCAAGGGGGCTTAGTTTTAGCATCCCATATCAGTCAGTCGTTGGCTACAGGATCCCCTGGTAGAGTGGGAGGCCAAAACCAAAAACGAAACCAGTTGCTGTCAGGGCAGTTCCAATTCATGGTGACTCCATGTGTTGCAGAGTAGAGCTGTGTTTCACACGGTTTCCAGGGATGTGACCTTTCGGAAGCAGATCGCCAGGCCTTTCTTTTAAAGAGCCTCCGAGTGGGTTTGAACTACCACCTTTCAGTTAATAGTCAAGTGTTTAACTGTTTGTGCCATCCAGGGACTCCAGGAGTTTGCAATCTTCCAGGAATCTCCTGGTAAGGTGCTCATTGGCTAAGGGAAATTCTCTGAAGTGGGATGCTGCTGTGGGTCTTTTAATACTCACCGCTGCTGAGGGGTGGGTCCACAGCTGGGTAAAGGGGACCTGGGTGGAGTATCAAGAAAAAATGCTACACCAGCACATTTATCACATTTATATAATCCACAATAATCTATACAAAGAGCAGTCAAATTGATATGGAAACCAACGCTCTCTTTCAGGTGTCTAAAATTGAAATCGCTTTATAGTGTCTGTTCCGGAGGGAGACCACTGTGAGGCCTTTGTGAGAAAATTTCATCAAGACTTTCGTAAAAATCAGCGGGTCCAAAACAGAAATCTTCAGAAGAAACAACAAAACTTCTCAAGCTGACTAGACTTGAAAAAAAATAGAAGCTGGGATCACAATGAGATGAGAGGAAAAATTCAACGTTGGTCTTTAGACTTTGCAGTAGTTAGGGTGCCGTGGGAGTCAAGTGAACAAGCTACAGTGATCGAAGCCAAGTTCATAGTCCTACACTGGGTTTGCTGTTATTATGTGGTTATTGTTCTCACTGCAGAAACACTGAGTTTCAGGCTTCTGACCATGGTGGATGTAAATTTTCATGGGAATAATTATCGACCTTGCAGCAAGCCAAAGCAATGTCAAGCTTGGGTTCTTCATGTGCTTGCTACCAGCATTTTAGACCATTTAGATGGGGCTTCTCTAAGTCTCTTCACGCTAAGGAACTAGTCCCAAATATGCTGTTGGTATGGTGTCTAAAAGAGTTGATCTCAACTTTTATGATGAAATCAGTGTTATGGCAGCTACAGTGGACCAAACTACGCTGGAGAGAAGAAAATGGGATGTCCAAGGCGAACGCAAATCGCACCCAGCTTGTCACAACACTATGCAGCCTTTATCTGTGAAATATGGAATAAGCTAGAGTGTTTGAGGACTGAGAGCTATCTGGATATTGAGTTCAGAGTAAGCAAAACATTTCTGTTTCTGAAAGGAATATAAAACTTTTGTTCATCAGCTCTTCCTATTGTCAGTGGAATTACCCAGTGACCATCCATTTGGACCAAAATCTTAGAATTCTTCTAATGAATAAAAGTCTACAATTTGGCCCAGAAATAGAAACTGAAGAACTGAACGTAAGAATTTTCACCAGCCAACAGCCAAAGTAGAAATTTACTTTACCGTTTCTGAACACGTGATAATAGGTTTTTCACACAGAGAGAGAAAATGGAGCTGTGGTAGAAAGAACTATTTGGGAAACCAGGATCTTTTCTCTCTAATCATATTTCTATCACATAATTTGAGTAGTCCTGTGCAGATCCCTTAATTTCTTTGGATTTTGGTTTCATTTTTTATAAGGCCCTTCTAGCTTTAAAATTTGATAGGGGGAGAAGAGAGAAAATTTTCCACATCTGCCCTGAAGGGGAGATTATTTTCAAGGTCCCCAGCCCCAACCCCATCTCTAACCCCAAAACATACCACTGGATATTACTTTAGGTGTATATTTTACTGTTTGGTTTGTAAAATAATAATTTAAGGATTTGTTTATAAAGAAAGTAAAAAATGAAATTAAAGAATAATATCTTCTGTTTTTCTTTTAGATTCAATCTAAAAGAACTTTTTTCCCCATTGTGATATAGATAAGCAAAATAATTTTGATCATGAGACTGGTTAAAAGAGGATCAAGATTTAATATTTTTACATTGGTAGTCTGGTAACAAGTCTTCCACTTAAAATGTTATGACCTTTCATTCACTGCTGAATCAAAACTTTACATTCTGCTTTCCTTTGAATAGAAGGTATGCAGTTGCTTTGTTTTTTTCTTCAGAAGGAATTTAATGCAGATGCATTACAGGTCAGCACTTTCCACATGTGCTCACACAGTGTACAAAGGTTACATCATACCAAGGAGTGGGGAGATGAAGGTTCCTCCCAGTGACTCCAGCGACCACACCTAGAAAGCTATGCTCTTCCTGAGCATTTCAAATAGATGTAAGAAGGCTGGGGAGAGTCCAGGAAGAAACAATAAAACTTAATTAAGGCAATGGAAGGACTGTATCCTGATGAAATGAAAGGGGAATTAATGCTAGAGTCTGGACAGGCCATAACCTAAAAGGGGGAAGACGCTGCCTGTAAATACTTGTAGATTGTAAACACAACAGGTGTAACTGAAATTCGAACAATATCAAAGAGAGAATTAAAATTCCCAGAGCCATATGAAAAAGTAAACCAAAACCAAAACAAATTTTTGAATTTTTTCACCTGTGGAACAGTATGCATTAACAGTATAAAATCCACCCAGTGAGATTCTATGGAAACTTAGATTGTGGTTTATGGGAAGCCATCATTTTATGTTTTGTCATACAAAATGATCATGTGATCCCATAACTCCCAGAACTAATTTTGCAGGAAGGAATCTCTAGCACACCTATGGAGCTAGAGACATACCTGGCAATATTTATATAGATAAACAGGACTTAAGTGAGAAAATGCATAAATACAAGATGTTCTGCAAAATTTTTTCATCTTCTAAGTTTTCTTATATTTGACAAGACTCTGACAAAAAACCTACCAGTGAAGCCTTTGCATCAGAAATAGATTTCCAGCTATTAATCGATGGGTCATTAGGTGGGGTGGATCATTTAGGAGAGACACAATGACATCTTTCTGGCATCTCCAATTAAATCAAACCAGCTGAGGGGTTCATCAATGTCTTTCATTCTCCATTTTATCTCCTCCCTGTGTCTGTCATTCAATTCTTTAAGATCAATTCTGTTGTGGACTGTGGAACTCATTCTTAGGATATCGATACTCACAGATGCTTTATTATTTAGCATCTTAGAGCATCGTGGGGGCAGGAGAAAACACTATAATGTCGCACACACTTGAACTGGTAAGTGTACAAAAAAACAATTACAATTGCTTGCCATTGTATCTTCTTTCCCAAAGTTAGATTTTTGTATGATTATGTTTTTATGAGGTTTGAAGAGGGAGAAATTATAACAGTTTCATCTTTTTATTGTTTCCTGGAGCAATACAAATAGAACCCTTTAATTTTGAATTGTCCATTTTGGTGACGTAAAGATTTCCATTTCATTCTATGTAATTGAAACAAAATTCTTAAGAAAATAACAAGGCAAACATCAGCAATTTAAGCTTTTGATGTTGAACATAAGGACAATTCTTCTCTGCAGGAAGACCCTGAGTAAGCCATCTAACTTCTCTGTGTTACCAAATGTAGCACGCTCTTTGTGGTATGATGTAAATATTGATTATCTTGCAACCCACACACCTGGGATGGGTTACCAGAATCTCTCTATTGCAAAACTCCACTCTTTCTGGTTTACATCATGGCTGCATGACATCAGGCTACTCGCATCTGCCAAGATGAACTGGAAGTGTTGAAATTTAATTTGTCAGACTCTGGCACTGCTAATCTGGGTAAGTCCACATTATCTGCCCAAACCTTTGGTGTGGTCCTATTCAGTAGCACATTCAGAAGCGTATCTTCCAAACTCAACTCAAATGTTTGTTAATTATTCAGTCAATCAATCAATGCACTCACTGCTCAGAGTACAAGCGTCTGGCAATTAGTTTCCTAAGACACCAAAGGCTAGGCCCCTTGAGAGTATCCACTTGAATAAATGTGTCTGGCCATTATATTTCACTCTTCTGCCCAAACTAAACACAGTGGACCTTCCAGACTGTGGGAAGCATCCATAGCTTCCAAAGAAACATCTCATACAGATTAGGAATGTGATTACTTGGTAACAAGGAAATTATTTAGTCAGCTTATCTATACACATCAGCCTTTCTTTGTAATTTTTATGCCTCAGATATTATTACAGCATAAGTCATTTAGACTGAAATTTGGCTAAGATCAAATTTGCAAATTAAGTTTTGTTTAAGACTGAAAATTTGATTTGCAGTTATCAAACTAGTTAAGTGCTGCCTTTGATCTTTAAGATTTTAATTAGACCTCACATCTCGAAAGAATGGCATCTCTAGTTATTTAAAATTGCACAGAGGAATTGATTCAATAGGAGTCTCTGGATGATGCAAATAATTAATAAGCTCGGCTGCTAACTGAACCTCTTGGAGGTTCAAGTCCATCCAGAAGCATCTGGGAAGAAAGGCCTGGTGATCTGCTTTTTGAAAAATCAGCCATTGAAAACTCTACGGAGCACAGTTCTACTCTGACACACACAGGGTCCCCATGAATCTGAATCAACTTGATGATAACTGGTATTGATTCAACGTTAAGTCCTTTCACAAATCAAGTTTAAGCAACAGTATAATATTGCTACCATTTATGGGCACTTACAATGTTTGAAAAGCATTATTTGCATTATTTCAATGAATCTACACCAGAGTGTAACTGAGATTTAGAGAAGGCGATTCACTTGTTTAAGGTCACATTGACTTTAAGTGGCAGAGCCTGGACCTAAACTCAGAGAGATTTGGTGCCAAAGTCCCTCATCTAAACTCTATGTGATAACACTTCCCAATATTTTATGGAAAATATTAGTGTTAAGGATTGATTTCTTGATGAATTTTGAGATATCCCAAATGATTTATATGTAAATAAAGTTTTCTTTTCTTTAAAATGTATCAAATAATATCCTTTGTCATAGATCAACCACAAAAAAATTCCTGCTGTCATCTGCAGATTATTAAGATATGCATACCATCCTTAGGGTGGGGCCAGAACAGACCTCAAGTGCCTGCTGGCAGTTGAGCGTACAGTCTGGGGACAGACTCTAGGCTGTAAATGAACTCTGGTTTATTCCCCGGACTCGGGATCAGGAGGCCACCACTTGGGAGAGCTCCACCTCAGCCTGTGGAGGAGAGCTTGCTGCCATTGATTTCACCTTCACTGGGACATAGCTGGCTCAGTTTGGAGATGGGATGAGGAGTGAGGCATTCAAGTGGTTTTTCTATCTACAGAAAAATTTCATCAACACCCTTCCCACCACATCACTCTCAACCCTACCCCTAACCCTATATACACCCTAGAGAAAAACAGTAAATGCTAACGATCCAGCTTAGAGACAAAAATGGAAAAAAATATATATACACATATACATATGGAGCCCTGGTGGCGCGGTGGTTAAGAGCTCAGCTGCTAACCAAAAGACTGACAGTTCAAATCCCCTAGCCACTCCTTGGAAACCCTGAGGGGCAGTTCTACTGTCCTATAGGGTCACTATGAGTCGAAATTGACTTGAATGGGTTTTTTTAATTATATATATATATATATATATATATATAATGTGGTGTAGTGGTTAAGAGCTATACTCTGTCCTTTAGGGTTGCTATGAGTTGGAATCGA